TATTTCAAAACAAATTACAAATGTTGGCCTAGACTATTACATCATCATTAATGCCTAGCCTAGAAACACGGGCGTTAGAATCTGCAAACTTTTTTGTTTGAAGAAAAAAAAAACAATTTTACACAAAACTATCGTAAAAGGGACATCTCCAACCTTTTGTGTTTGAGTAAAAACATACTTACACAGAGTTATCGTAAAGTTAGTAAGAGTAACATTAAATCATATTACACCAATTTTGACATCAAATTTCAAAACCATACTCCAATTCTTAAAGAGAACTTTAGTCATAGGAATGAGCGAGTGATACATCAAATTCTTAATTCATTTAGGACTTTCATCAAACAAGTAGAGTGCATGTATAGTTGCTGAAAAATTATTGATTGAATGAAAGTTCAAAATCAAACATTGAAATAGTTGGTATATTTCTCAAAAACATATCCTATGTTAACTTTTGTTCTAGGTTAAAAACAATTAACATGAACTAATTAAATCAATCAATATGATGTTCTATTGCTTCAAAACATATTGCTTAATAGTGCTGAAATCAAACAATGAAAGTAATGAAAGTCATCATACATTGATGAATTTCTGAAATAATGATCAGAGAGTAAAAATCAAAAGTTGAAAGTGCATAGACAACTATAAATGTTTAAGAATTGCATAAATTGCTAACCACAACTTATAAACATAAACAGAACTGCATATGCCAAAAAACTAAACCTCAATCTAATGATCACTTTCAGATGCAGAAGAATGAAGAAGATGAACTGGTAAATCACTAAAATCGTGAATTTAATAGTTGAGATTGTGATAGGAGAGGATAATTTGATCGATCGACGATTTTCGATTTCAAAATCACAACGATCTGGTAGAAAGACTTGATGATCGAAGGAGACGAAGATCATGATTACCTGAATATGACGATTTTGATACGAGAGGATAATTGATCAATCAATGAATGATGGTCCTATAGCAACGATGAATTGGCAAAAGACTTGAAGATTGATGAAGATGAAGATCTTGATTACGTGAATATGACCCTAATTTTGGTAACAGATGTGCTGATGAGATATTTAACCTAATAATGACTAATCTGCCCCTAATTAACAAATGATGTACATTAATAAGTCTTAATCATGTTTTTCTATGTGCCACATGATAACTTATGATCAATGGCTAAGATGTTGTCCTTGTGTCTCACAAAACACATTTGGTCTCAAATGAACATCATCCATCCTTCTAATGTAAACTTATTTTATTTTTATACGGAACTAAAAACAAAATTTTGCTTTTCCCTAATGTCTCGTTCCTGAGTTTAACAAAAGAAAAGAAGAGAAGAGAAAAGAAAGTTACGAGAGAAAAGAAGAGAAAGGAAATGAAAACAAAATTTTCTTTTGTGTTCCCGAGTTGGAGAGAAGTGGAAGGAAAATGAATCATTTTGTTCTTTCTTTCCAAATCCTCCCGAATCGGAAGGAAAGTTAGGAAGGAAAATGATCCTCTCATTTCTCTCCCCTTCCTTCCACTTCCCTCCTTTAATAAAACTCGAGAACACCAATTTCTTTTATTTTCTTCTCATTTCCACCCATTTCCTTTTGCTCAACTTGGGAAAGTGGTGTAAGTAAACTCAACCAAAAGTTTTATCGAAAAAAATGGTTACCGCGAAATCCCAAACACCCCTTAAATCAGTGAGCGTTCGAGAGTGGATCAAAGCCATAGGTATCTCTGATCTTTCAATTGAATCAACAAGTTTCTTGATGATGTCCACTGTATGATTGCAAACCCTAAAAACACGGCCAAGCATAGTCCAGTTCTCAAAGGGCGATGGAATACTTGCATGATGACGACGACGATTATGAATTGGCCCCCTTCTTTGAATCCGCTAGCTAATTTGCTTCATTCCGTGATTGATTTCCCTATAATCGTATCGTTACTTCGAAACAGTCATCGTAGTTCTACGATTGCTCCGCTTCATTCTCTAAGGCATTGCGAGGAAATCGACCGAGAAAATGACCTTGCTCTATACGATGAATTGGTTTCCTTCAATAAATTTGCTCATCGCCAACCTCTCCCCTCCATTAAAGACTTTTGCAAGTTATTAACTCGTATCGTTAAGATGAATCACTACTCCGTTGTTATCTCACTTGTTCAACGGTTAGACGTGTTAGGAGTAAAATCCGACATTTATGCATTCAACATCGTCATCAACTGTTTCTGTCACCTAAACAGAGTAGATTTTGGCCTCTCTGTATTTGGTAAAGCCTTGAAACGTGGTTTCGAACCTGATTATGCTACATTCAACACTTTGATCAGGGGACTTTGTGCTGATGGCAGCCTTGATCAAGCACACAAACTGTTCGACCAAATGCTAGAGAGTGGCTTCAAGCCTAACATCGTAACTTATGGGACATTGATAAATGGGATGTGCAAATTGGGAAACACTACTGATGCTATTATCCTTCTCAGAAAGATAGAAGAAGAATCACCAGGCGTTATCATCTATAGCACCATCATACACACCCTTTGCAAAAACAGGCAAGTTACCCATGCTTTGCATCTTTTCCAAGAAATGACTGAGAAAGGCATAACCCCAAATGCTGTGACTTATCTCTGCCTGATGCAGGGGTTATGTAGTTCTGAATTACCTCAACTTGCCAAAAGATTGTTAGATGACATGTTAGCTCGAAACATCTCACCAAATTTGCAGGCTTTTAACGTGTTAATAAATGCATTATGTAAACTAGGGTTAGCAACCGAATCACATAATTTCCTTGCTTTCATGATTGAAAAAGGAATGCTTCCCAATACAACCACCTACAACACTTTGATAAAAGGGTATTGTTTGATTCAAAGATTAGATAAAGCTAAGCACTTATTTAATTACATGAGTACACAAGGTTGTGATCATGATGTTGTTAGCTACAATGTTTTGATCAATGGATACTGTAAGAATCAAGAGATAGATGAAGGATTAACACTACTAAAGGAAATGTCCAAACAAAAGATTGATCCTAATGTAGTTACATACACCACAATTATCCATGGTCTATGTCTTGTTTCCAAACTCGAGGACGCACTTGTAATTTTTCATAAAATGCAAGATTGTGGACACACTGCTAATGTTGTTACTTACAGTACTTTGATAGATACACTATGCAAACATGAAAGAGTTAATGAGGCTTTAGATTTGTTTAAACTAATGGATGATAGACACGTGGCGCCTGATGTGTTTACTTTTACTAGCATCGTTGATGGGTTGTGTAAAGTTGGGGAAATTGATGCTGCAAATGATTACTTTCTAGAACTTTCTTGTAGAGGGTTACAACCGAGTGTGTGTACATATACTGCAATGATTGGTGGGTTTTGTAGGAATAGGAGATTAGATGAAGGAGAAGAGTTGTTTTTGAAAATGGAGGAGAGTGGTTGTGTGCCAAATGTTCATACTTATACTGTTATGATCAATGGGTATTGTAGAAATGGGAAAGTTGATGAAGCAAATGAGTTGTTTGTAAAGATGAAGGAGAGTGGTTGTTTGCCAGATAGTTGTTTGATTAATAGTATTATTCAGGGGTTTCTTTTACAAAATGAGATAACAAAGGCGATTCAGTATGTTGACATTTTGAGGGAGAATGGGTTTTCGTTAGATGTGTATACGGAAGCTTTGTTGCAAAACTTTCAGTGTTGTGTGATGTTAGAACATTCATCTAAGAAAGGGTTTGAGAGTTTTTCTCAATAGTGTAATGGTGAATGATATGTTGATAACTTGTAGTTACTTTAATATTCTTGATTGATGGTTTCTGTGTGTGTATGTGTGTTTTTTTTTTAATATTATGATATTCCAAAATGATCCATCTCAATGTGCATAACCCATTAAAACAGAGCTCAAATCTACTCTAATCTTACTCTAAGAAATGAACATGTCACACTCATTCAATTTGCCAAATGTCATTTTGTGGTTATTTTGAATTAATTTATTTTTCTCATGTCATTTTATGGGTTTTCTTATTTTATTAAATTTTACATAATATTTTAATGTAAATATAGTAATAATGAACTTACCTTCTAATTTCAAAATTCTCAAATTAAAGCCAATTAGTTATTTAGATTATCTGTTTAAATTTAAAAGATAAAAAAAAATTCAATTTTAATAATTCACTATTTTTCTTATTTTCTTATAAATTCAAAGTTCTCAAATATGTAGATTTTTTTATTTATTTATATTTTTTTTTAGAAATGAACACATCTAATACATATGTTTTAGTAATAATAATAAAGGGTTAACATTGATTTTTGGAAACGGGCTATTCAGATTGTCCTTAAGATGTCAATAAATTCAATAGAATGGTAACGAGCTCTTAGGGTTATTATTGAATTTGGAAAAGTAATTTTTTAAAATGACTTAAAGTTGTTAATAAATGTATTTTATTTTTAAAAGGGTAATCAACTCATGTTTATAGTATATTTATCTGTTATCTCACCTTGAATAAGATATATTCTTTTCAATTTTATACTTTTTGCCCAAATTTAGATTTTTTTACTAATTTAGACAGAGCATTAAGTTTTATTACGAAATCATCTCAAATTTAGTTTAATTTAAAATTTTATCTTTCGACAACTTTTCTTTCAGACCTTGTTTAGAATTTTTTTCAAAAAATTCGCAAAGATTTTTTTCTTAGTTTAATTTATATATTTATTTTTCTATAATGTTTTAATACAATTGATTAATTGGAGTGCGTGGTGGTAGTATCCATGGTTGTCAAAATCGCGATCATGATCGTAGGATCGTACGATCGTAGGTATGAAAAACGATCTGGATCGTATTTGGGGTAGGATCGCATGTAGGATCGTAGAATCGAGATCCGATCCGATCCTACCTTCCCTTGATTTTTTTTTTTTTTTTGCAAATGATTTTTTTACCACTTTATATCTTTTACTCTTTATCAATTTACCATTTATCATTTTGTGTTGTGACTTATGACTAATATTTTGAAGTTTTTATAACTTTTGAACAAAAAATTGAATGTTTGAAATGTTTTTCATGATTAAAAATTATAAATTATAATTATAATTTATTTTGTGGGATCTTAGGATCCCGATCCCGATCTTGCAAACCAAAAAACGATCCTTCGTAGGATCCCGATCTTGACAACCTTGACAGTATCCAATGTTGCCTTAATTTTGTTTGCACTTTGCTAGCTTCTAGCTAGCTTTTCTTTTTGGTTTTTATATAGACAAAACTGCAAATTTGGTCCCTGTGGTTTGCCAAAAAATGTGGATGGAGTCCAAAATCTTTTCAATTTGCACCATTGGTCCAAAATCAGATTTTTTTTTGTGGTTATGGTCCCTATCAAACATAAAAAGACTATTATACCATTTTAATTTGTTTTTTACATTTTTTTATTTCTTTTACCATTTTTATAATTTAAAAATAAAAAAGAAACAACAAACCTCCTAACCCCACTACCCGGTTACCCTCTTCCCTCTTCCTTCTCTCTCTCTCTCTCTCTCTCACACACACACACACACATCCCCAAGAAAACTCAGAACCACCAAATTTCACCATCTCCACCATAGATTCACCTCTATTGCATGGTAAAATCACTCATGCTCGCCAAAAAGCCTCCCACCTGTTGTGAGGTCCATGTCTCGAGCTCCACTTGTAAACATATTTCTTGTTTCTTTCAAAAATGGGTTGTTTTGGGTCTTGATGAATGATGATGACTAACAGAGTATTCTGCATCACCTCTTGAACTAGAATCTTCACCTTTGAGCTCCTTCTTCATCTTCTTTAAGCTCTTCCTGATGTTCAGACATGCTTCACGATCTTCTACAAAATCAAACGAGTTGCGTTTCCTGATGAGTTTTCATTCATTAAAAAAATTGTTGAGGCAATAAAGATTCTCTCTTCTTGCTAAAAGAAAAGAATAATTAACATTCTTATACATGTTCTCTGAATTGAGATTTATCCATCCGGTGGAGTGGGTAAGTTGCTACCAGAAAGAATGGATGGGAGTGATAAAGTGAAAAGAACACAGAGGAGAGGAAATCCAATTTCCTCCATTAGAGAAGGTTGGAGAGTGAGGAGTGAAAGTACAAGACTACAAAAATCACCCTTTTTGCCTTCGATTTTATGTTGCAGGTCTGAATGATAAGAGAATTTCAACGACTTAGCCTCAAACTAAAGCTTCATACCTGATTCATCCTATGATCGTGTTCTTTCTTTCATTCCAGAAAATCTATTATCCAACCTTACCTCCATTTTCTTCTTCTTCACCTTAAGTGCAACTGTGCAAGACAAGATCAATTATTATTCGTCGTCATAAGTTTTTCCTCCTGTGATTATTCGTTGTAGGAGTTTTTCCTCCTGTGATTACTATTCATTGTCACTTGAGGATGGTGGGTACCGTTGAGTAACATCTCCTCCATTTTTGTTTCGTTCCATATTTTCTTCGATTTGTAATCAGCATCAATGTTTTGTTTTCTCCATTCCAAATTTTCATGGGATTTATATTTCTAGGTTAGATCCCTCTCTCTAATCCTTCAAACATTTCAGCGATGAAGTTCTTAACACTATGTGTGTAGGTGTGTTTGAGCTTCTTTATTTCCAGTGCGTTTGAGCTTCTATGTTTCAGGTGTGTTTGAGCTTTTCTCTGTAACTAGTATGGCTTGGTTAAAAAAACTGTGAGAAGGGTGTGAAATAGAGCAGTAAGGAAGAAGAAAATGAAGAGAGATAGAGGGGGGGAGGGGGTAGGGATACGGTGGGTGAGGGTAGGGTGGGCTAATTCTTGTTTTTTGTATTATTTTTAAATTAAATAGGTGTTAAAACAAAAAAAAAATTAAAAAAGAAATTAAAAGGGCAAAATAGTCCTTTCAACTTTTTGAGGGACTAAAACCACAAAAAACTTCTGATTTTGGACTAGTGGTGCAAGTTGGAAAATTTTTGGACTCCATCCACATATTTTTGCTAACCACAGGGACCAAAATTGCAGTTTTGTCTTTTATATATTTTGTTGCTATTCATTGTTATTATTAATAAAATACTTAATAATCATGTCAAAGAGAAAATACGAATCATGGGCTTTATAAAAGAAAAGCAAAATGCAACAAGAAGCTTTTATAGAATAAAAAATGACTACATATAAATGATGTTAGGGGTAAAGGTTATGACAATAGATCAAATATGAAAGGAAAACATCAAGGTATACAAAAACGATTGTTAGATATTAACCCTATAGCATTCTACACTCATTGTGGTTGTCATAGTTTAAATTTAGTAATTTGTGATATGGCTAATTCGTGTGATAAAGCTAGTGAACTTTTTGGAGTTACACAACATATATATTCAATATTTTCTTCATCAACTCAAAGGTGGAAAATATTAGAAGATAATATATCAAACCTAACACTTAAAGGGGAAAATACAAATCTAGCCAAAATCCTTAATTACTTAACAAAAAATAGCCAAAAAAAACCACTTAGCCAAAAAAAACCACTTAGCCAAAAATAACCCACAAAAGAGTAGTCAACTATAGGTTGACTACTGTTTCGCCAAATCGTCTACTGTTTCGTGTTTTGTATAAATTTTTTTTTTCATTTTTAGGATACAAAACCGTAGGTTTTTTAAAACCTACGGTTTCCCCAAAACAGTAGTTAAAACCCCCAAAATAGTAGATTTAAAAAAAAAACCGTATTTTTTCACCCAAAACCGTAGCTACGGTTTGGGAAACCGTAGCTACGATTTGGGAAACCGTAGGTTTTAAAAAACCTACGGTTTTGTATCCTAAAAATGAAAAAAAAAAATTATACAAAACACGAAACAGTAGACGATTTGGCGAAACAGTAGACGAATATCGAAACCTACGGTTTCGTGGGCTATAATTGGACATTTACTAATTTTTTGCTATAAATTGCTAATGACTTCCTTAATTTGGCCTGATTAGTAATTGCCCCACACTTAAATCATTATCACAAACTCGTTGGGAAAGTATGATAGAAAGTGTAAAAGCAATTAGATTTCAAGCACCACAATTAAGAAATGCATTTTTACAATTATACGAAAATTGTGGAGATCCAAAAATTAAAAGTGAGGCTAAATGTTTAGCTACATATGAACTTGAAAGCTATGAATTCTTATTAGGAATGATTATTTGGTATAATTTATTGTTTTCTATTAACGATCAACGACGGAACCAATTAGTTGGTAGGAGTAGCACGTGCTACCCCTCATTCTCTCCCGACATATGTTCAAATTTTGGATTACTTTTATATTCATATAGTGCAATGCTAAATTAAATGGTGCTCCTGTCTTAAATAAAAAGCCCAAAATTCTAAACTACTTCCAAATAATTAACGGCCCACGAAATGAAGGAAGTAGCTCAAATGTGTACACAAAACTCTAATATCAACGTAGCCAACAACAATATTTCAGCAAAGCAAAAGGAAAAAAGGAAAATTGGGTTTCCTTTCTCCTGCCCCTTGCTTCATGACAAGGCATATACAACACAAATGAGCTTTGACATTTTGGTTTTTTCCACCGGTAACGACCGCAACCATTGAAATATGTTTTTCCGCAATTAAGTTTTTGAAGACCGACTTGCGTAATAAAATGGATAATGATTTTATGAACGATGCTTTGATTTGTTGTGTAGAAAAGAAGCACTTATGGATGTTAAGATTGAACGAGTGATGAAACGCTTTTCAAAAATGAGTAAACGAAGATGTCAACTTTAAAATATA